CACTTGAGAAACGAGGTGCCATTGGCAAAATGGTTACTCCCAACTAAATCAGGAATGGGGACCTTGAGCTGAGCTCTTCAAAACTAATTAAGGCTTCATAAATCTCAGGTCCCTGTCGATTGTTGACAATTGATTACCAGTAACGGTAAACAGTCGGACTATTTCTGAGCCAGAGTTTATCACACCTCCAGAAAACCCGTTTGCTTCAGCCGATTGGACGGCTCGCTATACCTAAAAAAAGTTTAGTGTAAGCATGAGCTGCACACACACTACACAATTCCAATTTCATATCAAATTCAGGCAATGGTAACGTTTCTGCTTGACACGTAGATTTATCCGTTCGTAGAGTAGTCCGTATGAAGCAGAGGAACGGGAGACAGTATGCTTTTCAACTTTTCCCTCTATCTTATTGTTGTAGAAACTACTGTCAAATGTGGATGCAAGACATCCAGATGTTTGCAGCCGATCTGTTTTTTTTCCGTAGCACATGGACTTAGTTAGCCAAGCGTCTTGGTTAGGTTATGCTTTTTCCCACGCCTTATCGAGATGCTTAGACAAGATATAGTTCGTCTCTTTACCCCGCCAGTGACTTGTCTGATCCGAGAAATACTACTTATAAGATGTCACCACTGCGTGCAGAATGAGTTGGACGTAAAATGCGTTCTTTTGCCAAGGACCCAAGGACTCGTTTACCGGCAGTCCTCCCTGGGCGAAAGTTTGGGTTTTCGAATTCAGCATGTTAGGAACATATTGCTGTAGAAGTGGTTCCTGTCCTAAGCAAAGGATCCCTTCAGCGACTGAGGCATACTTGACAATAAGACGTTTGGAAATATTCACCGCAGTTCCTGTGATTGCGCATCTATGATTCCGTGAAGCCACTTGCAGAGCAAGTCGAAATTGAAAGGATGTGAGCGGTCCAAGATCATTAGCTGGGGCTCAAATGGGCGATAGTTGCTGTCCAAAAACTACCCAGCCATAAGCCATGAACAACTAGGGGTCCGAAGATTTATTGATTTCATAATCTTTAACATTACGAAACAAAACTGCACCGAAGAAACCTAGCCCAACAATATTAAACAATCTTGGCGTCTGATTGTTGTGTGCGCGATCGAGAGCAAATTATTGTGCTTTACTTCCGTCAGTTTCAACCAATCCATCACCACTTTGCTTGCAACTGTCTTCTCTCTCCCTCTCTCTGTGTGTGCCGTGGCATGATCTCTTGATGCGCGGTGATAAGCGGATCATGCTGCTACTTGGTTTTTAAGCTTCAGCTGTTTATCTTACCTACTGCAGTTTTGCATGAAGGAAAGTGATCCAGCATGTCCCTCATGCATCCTGTTAGTGCTCCAGTTTCCACCTTACCGACTGTGTGCGCATGCCCATCGTAGATGGGCTTATCTTTTCACCGTCACCAAACCGGTCACCGCGTGGTGATAAGGGATTATGGAAGGGGGTGGGGGGTTGACCGTTCGCCCAAATGAATTTGACGGGTGTACTTGAGTTGGTCCCGAGGCGGTTTCGTTTGTCCAAATACAAACACGCGACAGAAGTTTGTCTGATTTTTAGTTTTTTCTCTCCCTCACTGTCAGACTCATCTGGTTGCTATTTGTATGAAAGTAGGTTTGTTGGAACGAGAAGTCGCATATCCACCAGCGCTATCCCTCACTGACAAAAACTTATCGTGCAAAAAGTTGTAAACCTTTCACGTATCCCTGTCTGGAAGTAAGGAATAAGTTCACGAATTGCTGGTGTTCTGTTTACTAAGCCTGGCAAATTGGTGGCGAACGTCAGCAGACAGAACACAGCACAAAACATGGTACGATGCCTGATCTTGGTTACTAGCTTTAGATGAAGTAGGGGTCACTCAGCTTGGTCACTATATCAGACAGATGAATTACGGGGGAAATTGGATAGGCTCGACTGAGGGTCCCTTGGTTGGTCACTATAGAAGACCTCTACTGTAGTCAGCTGATTGGTGCCTTCAAACTGGTGATTTCAAAAAGAACTGGCCTAGTCATTTTTTTGAGAAGGGGGAAGCTCAGATGGTCACATTTCCACGCATTTTCCTAGAGTGCATGAACCCGCGAAGTTTACTCGAGTGATCGCTCAAGAGAACTTGTGAGCACCAGTATGAATCACAGAGCAGTGAAACGGACATCCGTGTCTAGGACTTTTTGGTTGCTTCATTAGACAGGCAATGCACCAAAAATACCTACCTAGACTTCTACTAATACACTCATCTGCATATTAATTTAGGTTTCGCGGGGCATTCACCTGGAACCCGGCTGAACCCCTCGTGTATTATGCAGCTCTTCAACTGAATGTATTGCATCAGACCGCCCCTTGTTTCAGTTTGTACGACGTTCAAGAAAACACCACACATTGTACAAATGTAATACACTACTCACAGGGTTGCTGAAAATTCTTGGATGACTTTTCTTCGAGAAGTTTTCAGCAAAGTTTTTGAGCAGTGTTTTACATCTGTACCCAAACTTCTCTTCATCTCCTCTGCTTCACACCTGATGCCGCTTCTATTTCTAAATTAAGGAACTTGACGATGGTCTTTTATCTCTCCGTGACATCTGCCGAATGACAAACAGTGCGTTTATGGATAATCTTCGCGTAGTTTAACTTTGGTGAAGTTCCTGAAACAGCGGCATGTCAACCGATTACCCGTCTTCAATCATGTAGTCGGTGGTCACGGGGCAGCATTCTGAACAGCTGATAGATGCCCGCGGCCTTGTGCTTATCAGATCAGAAGCTTTTGCGTGTGTATGTGTGTGAATGAGTGACTGAGTGCGTACGCGGACATGTGCACAATATGAAAAACCTGAAGGAATCAGAGAGGGTGATGTTTAAGTTGGATAGTATATGGCTAGTAAATTTGGTTACAGTGTTCCTATCAAGGATAACTGAACTAATTTCAGGATGACACATTGTAAAATGTAATACACTACTCACAGGGTTGCTGAAAATTCTTGGATGACTTTTCTTCGAGAAGTTTTCAGCAAAGTTTTTGAGCAGTGTTTTACATCTGTACCCAAACTTCTCTTCATCTCCTCTGCTTCACACCTGATGCCGCTTCTATTTCTAAATTAAGGAACTTGACGATGGTCTTTTATCTCTCCGTGACATCTGCCGAATGACAAACAGTGCGTTTATGGATAATCTTCGCGTAGTTTAACTTTGGTGAAGTTCCTGAAACAGCGGCATGTCAACCGATTACCCGTCTTCAATCATGTAGTCGGTGGTCACGGGGCAGCATTCTGAACAGCTGATAGATGCCCGCGGCCTTGTGCTTATCAGATCAGAAGCTTTTGCGTGTGTATGTGTGTGAATGAGTGACTGAGTGCGTACGCGGACATGTGCACAATATGAAAAACCTGAAGGAATCAGAGAGGGTGATGTTTAAGTTGGATAGTATATGGCTAGTAAATTTGGTTACAGTGTTCCTATCAAGGATAACTGAACTAATTTCAGGATGGGATTCTGGACGCTGTTTTATGATGGTGGCATGACTATAACACTGTCTTAGACTTTTAGATCACAGTAGCTCCTGTCTTAGGTGTGTCACCTTCCAAACGGAATTACTTTTTTCGATAAAATACATATATGCTTCCTAATGACTCGCTTTTCTCATAAAAGCCAAACACTCCGATACGCACCAATTTTCAGCCCGTCAGAAGTAGGCTTATGATAAGTTTGTCACGGGATCTATATTCTTCAAACTGCAACTGACAACAGTGTTGAGGTCCAGATTGGTTAAACTGAGGCTCAAGAAATCCGCTCTCGTCGGATGATATTCTTCAACTGAACTCACCGCACAAAGGCCGCCCCATGTTTCAGTTGGTACGATATTCGGGGTATCACTGTAGCTTTGCATCAAGAAAACTACCCACAAGATTGCTGAAGACACCTACCCACAAGTTTGGCCCCTTTTTGGGGCTCGTTAGGTGAGCGGCCCCCCCAAATTTCATCTATGGTCCATTCTATGTTATATTTGTCCTCTGTCCTATGTTCTATTCGAACCCATATTAGACAGATTTCGACAAATAGACTTATTTTCACGGGAGACTCAAATGAATATCACGTGGGATTCAATGGAGTGACCCGTTATAATCAAATTATTGTGAAAATGAACATAGTTCGTGATATGCTACAAGTTGGGTTCGAGTAGAATATAAGGCTGACGGAAATTCGGGGTACGTGTCAATCTGATGAGCCTCAAAAAGGGTACATAGTTCGGATATGCTACAAGTTGGGTTCGAGTAGAATATAAGGCTGACGGAAATTCGGGGTACGTGTCAATCTGATGAGCCTCAAAAAGGGTGCAACTAGACGCGGTGACCTTATGAGTATTCTTCTTTCGGACCGTTTTTAATCTGATTCGATTTTGATAGATTAAATTAGTGATTCTTAAAGGAAACACATCATATGGATTGGTATTTTCATTTCCAACATCCCATTTTAAAACAATCCGTTGCACCATATGCAATATCAGAGTATACAAACCCTCTGTGACCCAAGTCCGCTTTCTACTTGCGTATTCACGAATAGATTTTTTCATGTAACTGGCTGAAAGTCACTTTCGACGGTATAGAAAGGGTGGTCACAGAAGGTCCTGATGAACAGTCATTGCAACTATGGCTGCACAGCGAAAACCCAGTCAGTCCTTAAGTTGGACAAACTTTGAAATAGATGACAGTTTTGGTTGGAGTAAGCAAAATCAAAAAGAGCCGTAGAGTCACTGTCAAGTCCTCTACAAACACATGAGTGTTAAGGGAATTTCACCTTGGTCTGAACACCAGCCAATGGAAGAATCTAGTACCTGACCACAGCTAAACGTTTACTGCGCTTAATTTGTCCTAAATGTGGTTTCATTAATCCCTCTCGGTTGAGGCCACTCTAATTCCACTGGATCACTTTAGTGGTGACTTATCATGAATTGTATGTGTCCCGGACTTCTGCTACTTGAATTTTTGCTGCTCATTGTTTTGAAGTTACTACCCAGTCTATTGGACCGAACCTTCGAATGTCGAAGCGATGTCGATATGACAACGGTGCAGTACTCCCTTTCACTAAGTCGGTCAAAATATTTGGTGGTAAGTAAGCAGACGGTTTGGACGAAATGTATGGTGAACACCGTGTTTGGTTCCATTTTGTCCAAAAGTTTACTATTGGTGTGAGTGTATTCGGTGTGGTAATGGTGATGTTCTTTTGGGTGATTTGTGTTAATTCGAATTTTTCAGGACCGTTGCGAACCAGTTTTTCTTGCAAGAATGAAGAGCCATGCTTTGCGGTCTAACTTCAACTCACCAGAAGAGAGTTCCATAAACGAAATATGCAACAAATATACTTGTTATCAGTTGGAGTTTAACGCGCTAGTCATACATAGCGTTGAGACTGCTACAAACCAGTTACCAAGCTCGCCACACAGAAGAACTGCTACCAGATCACCTGCCAAGCCTGATCATGCAAGCTCACAATACTGACGGGATGTACAGGAGACTGATCCCCTTTGTAATACATTGCCATTCGCCTAATGCTCTGACCATAACTACTTTTGCATGTAGCTACGCATGAATTCACCAACTGGGTTTTATTCGAAAACTGTCCTGGCCTGTGAGCTCAGTATTCCCCACTTTCATCAATACCACAAGATCCGGAGATTTCACGTATTTACGTCCTTTTCAATGTGCATAAGTGAAAAGTTGAACACACATCGGTTCTTCCCCCAATAGATTCTATTGGTTATTCTGTGTGACATTCTAGTTTCTGAGTCACAGACTGAAAGATTTACTGAGTGCGATCGATCGGCTCTCAGACAATTTAGTCTTCTACCAAATTGTGTAAGATTTAGTTGCATCTGAAACGACATTGTCTAAATATCAACTCCTTAATGCGTCGCGTGGTGCATTTTTGACCACACTGTGCACTACAGTTGATGAGTCTGAGGCAGTCTCAAAAAGCGTTTGTTGGTCGTTTCATTTACATGAAAAATAAAATCGATGGCCCATAAAAATCTAACAAACACGCTATCTTCAAATAGATTTTAAGTCCCACTTGTTGGTAACTTTTATGGTTTACAAAGATTCATCTGACAAGTTGTTTGCTATTCCTCCATCCAACGCCCCCATTTAATTTTTTCTATAGCTTTAGCCATAAAAAAACCGATAGCATGTCTTTCTCAAGCACCCGCGACTTTTTAGTTCACCATTTAACAGATTAATGCGAAGATTTCCGGTAAAATTTTGCCCAAAACCAATGATTAGAGATTTCCTTGGAGTAACTGGCGTAAAATACTAGCCGACCAGTTCGTTCGTACAGTTAAGGTGAGGCTATTCACGATCAAAATGAAGGAATTCATTGCATGTACTGTTGGTTATCTGCGGTCGGACAATTGACACTTCATGGTATCTTCTGCTCGTCCTATTGTCACCAACCGAAAAACTCCCAACGGAACACCGTGTGGGTTGAAGAACCGCAAGAATGTGAACAAAGACTGATCTGATGGAAGCGTGGATAAAGCAATTACAGCAATGATGCTATCTTGCGACTATAGACTATGATTCAGTGAACTGATGACGTATGCATCTACATTTCCTACGCTCACATAGATTAAAACTTGTTCCAAGCGTCCTCTGTAAGTGCCTCAGACTACAGCTGTTTTCTTCTGGGGTCTTAATTCTCTCTCAACTATGCTGAAGACGCCTTGCTAGGACTAGAGGAGACCAGATCAAACACCCGTACACCAAGACTCCGCGCCGTATCACAGAGTTTTTCTTATCGTTTTGACTGGGAACACCAAGTAACCGGTGGTCGTATGGTTCTAACCCCACGACAAACAAAGATGGCAGGCCCGTTTCCAGGAGATACTGTCATTCGTTGTTTTACTGAATACGATCAGAAAAGTGTCATGAAGCGGGAGAGGATATCCACCTAGAGTAAGTAGTTGGAAACTCTCATAGTTCGAAGGCCCTTAAATGGTTTTCTAACGTTTGCACTCTATTTGGATTGTTGAAAAGTTAAATGCGTGGTGAATAACGGAGAACAAAGCATGACTTTTGCTTCCCTCCTTTTGGCGGGTCGATCCACTACTTTTCGGGCGATTCTAAGGAGCACAAAACTTCACAGTGCCCAGACAACGGATACTTTCTGGTGATCGTCCAGTATGCGTGTTTGTCTAAGGCCGGTAAATATGGATGTTTGTATATGGGTGTAATGGAGAAAGCCCTTCGCCGTGGAGTTATTTGTTATCAAACACCAACTATACAGTTACAAACTGATGGACAGGAACGTGATCGTCTCAGTTGGACCTTGTTTTTAAGAACTGACCATTCTTACGAGTTTGCTTGTTGACTTGTTGACACTCACGCAATCTTAAACGAACGCTGCACAGCAGTTCCACCTTCCATTATACGCGAAGTGGTTTTCGAGAAAACCACACACTACCCGCATATTTCATCGGTAGTATCCGCCGATACGTTGCTAGCTTTCATTGGGATGCTTTCATCGGTATTCGATCGGGTGGATTATTTTCGAATCGCCAATTAGCTTACAAACGCTTCGTCAAAAACAATCTGATATGTGTTACTGTTGGTGGCTAATTGTAACACACTTTTCTCGGTGTTCCATTGATCCTTTTCGATTTGACTTGCGTTGAGGTCCGTATTCCTCACTTTCGGTTGCTACGACAAGTGTCATCTGTTCGACGACTTTTAGTCCCGGAACCACCCACCCGATCGCACATTGATGATATCCGCTAGGTTGGTGAGAAAACTTTTGCAAGCTAATCGCCAGGCCTGGAAAGCAGGTAAACAGCCACCTGATCAGTTACCGTTGGTTAATTTTTACACCAACTCAGCTTGGGTGAGTTCAGTTGAGTGAACAAGATGCAAATTCTGGCAGTGAAAATAACGAGACCGTAGCTGGGACAACCAATAGCGCACCCAGACTAAATAAGTTGGAAAGTTTCATTGATCGCACGTGACGGAGTATGATTTTTTAACCTCACGGGCACGATAAAACAAGGGCAAATATATGACCATTAGTTTGAGCTGTATCAATTTAGTTGTTCAGTGTTCGAACTGTTGATAATGAGAGAATTTCCATCATGTAGTCTTCGTCCGTGTACACAAAAATTGCTTCTTCAAGAGTGTCTACAACCAATCATTTGTGCTGTCAGTCTATGCGCTTAGTATCTCACATATGATTATACAATCGTGGTTTGTAAAACTGGATGTTTCTGTAGCATACACCCTGTAACGGGTACCGGTAGAAAGGATCTCTACCTAGGAGGAAGGTTGTGATAAATCTCGCTACCGTCCGAAAACACGACATTAGACTACACACCCTTCTTTTACCGCTTTTTTTTATCGTGCCACGCAGTTTGTGTTCAATCTTTGGAGCATAACTTTGGGCGAAACCAGGTGTTGATCGCCCGTCATGCACATGTGTCACCTTTTTTGTTTGGTTGCTTATTTGTGCATTTTTCCTCGAGCTGCCATATGGTGGTCAGTGTTTATGTTGAGAGTTTGTGTTTTTCACCAAGGTTCTTCACCAAAACCTCTAGACATTTATGCTTGATACGCGATCAGAATACATTTGGGGTGGGCAAACCAAATGTCCCCAAAATGATCCTAGTTTCTAGAGAGCTGCTTACCGCTTTCATTGTTATCATCATCATCATCCATTGGTTGATGTATCTGAACTTTTGTGGGGCTCAAGATTTGGTTTGACCGTCGGGTCAAAAGTGAATTTGTCTATCTTGATTTGTTTTTCTCCTCCTCGGCACATTAATTTCTTCATTTGCCTGATTATTTGCCCATTTATTCTCAGTGAAACCGCCCCCATGAGCTTGCTCATTTGAGAAAACTAAGATATCATAAACGAGAGGTTCAGCTGGGTTCCTGGCGAATCTCTCGAAAGACCAAACTTGTTTGCAAATGGGCGCATTTCGCTAAAAAAAACATAGTTTACCCTCTTTTTAAAATGCTATGAGCTGCCAAACTTGGAGCTGATGTCGAAAGACTGCCTCTAGAATCTTCCAGTTATTTTCAAGAGACCTACGAAAAATCAATTCATGCTCTAAAACTAGGCTGTTGTTTATTTTTTACGACTTGCTTGACTGTTATCTTTTTATCTCAATACCGAGGGCAAGGAAATATTTTCTTGCCGTGAGAATCGCAGTCAATATGGGTGGAATCTGCCAGATTGGTAGTTTGGCTAGATGAGGTAAATGCACGGCGAAGTTACAGTACCAACAATAACCCACATTTCATATGTAGAGAACAGTGATTGTAAAACAACTTGGTTCACAAATGATCCTTTATAATACTTTAACGTAGTGCACTACTCACACGGTTGATGAAAACCCCCGGTCAGCTGACCAACTGTTTGGCCCTTCTTAGGGCTGATCAGGTGAACACATTACCCTTCGTTCCGTCAATCTTGTGTCCCACTTGAACAGCAAGGTATACGCGACCAATCATTGGCTAATTAATCTGGTGTCGATGAAATGCTCGACTGAATCAGCAGTAACCTGTGTAGCACATTCAGATGAAGGATATCATAAGCGAGAGATTTAACTGAGCCATCCGTTAACACCAATTAATTTCGTCCAGCAGTGTAGTCCTATAACTTTTTTTTACTTGTTTCGTGAAACGGATATCAAACTAGGGTACTTATAAGACCAACTTGAAATAGTTGTTCTTACTGACAATTACAACTAACCCCATTGAACGTCTCTATTTTGTATAAATTCTTCTCGTTAAAGCAGGGAAAAGTCACGTGACAGAAGGCATGTTTGGGAAGATTACTGCATAAAGTCGGTGAACATCTGATCTTATTGGCGGAAGCTGTTTTAAAACAGGTGCGATATTGCGTATACATAATTTCAGCTTCCAAGTTTATTTGACTTACTTACTTACTTTTCGTTCAAAGGCAGATGCGAACAACTAAGAGTTAAGGAACCGGCAAAGAAATGTTTTGTACAAGCAATCAAAATAACTACTTGTTTTAGTGTTCACTAGCTTTATTATCAGGGAACGGGTGATGAAATTTTACCAGTACCGCTTTCGGGCCATTGCAAACGTTAAATTGT